GGAGCTGGGGCTGTTCAGTCTGGAGAAGAGGAGGCTGAGGGGGGACCTTATCTCTCTCTACAGCTCCCTGACAGGAGGGTGTAGTGAGGCGGGGGTTGGTCTCTTCTCTCAAGTAACCAGCGATAGGACGAGAGGCAATGGTCTCAAGCTGCATCAGGGCAGGTTCAGATTGGGTATTAAGAAAAATTTCTTCACTGCAAGAGTGGTCAGGCCTTGGACCAGGTTGCCCAGGGCAGTGGTGGAGTCACTGTCCCTGGAGGCATCCAGAAAACGTGCAGACGTGGCACTTTGGGATGTGGTTTAGTAGGCATGGTGGTGTTGGGTGGATGGTTGGACTTGATGAGCTTAGAGGTCTTTTCCATCCTATTATTCTATGTGCTCTTCAGGGAAAGCCACTTATTCCCCAAAACAGACTAAAACGTAATAAGCAATGTAATATTTGAAGACTGTTTCAGATACACATGGTCAGGTGTTGAATAATGAAGGAGCCATTTAAAATAGCAAGTCTTGATGAAAAAAGCCAGAGCGACCTTACCTATTCTTTTTCAGCTTGGCTTCAGCTGATGGCATGTTTTCCAGGCAGCTGGGGCAGTAGTGAGAGTCCACCTGACGAACAAGACGGTCACATCACACTTGCTGGCACGTGTCTGTCTAGACAGCATGCTGGCAGCAGCCAGAAACTCTGCCGCAGGATTTAACAAGGCTCTGTGTCTGGCAACACACAGGTGAAGTCAGGGAAGACTCAAGACATTTTTTGGTATTTGAAATCTTAGACATTCTTAGCCAGATTTTGATCTTCAATAATGTAAGTCAGAAGGTTTCTTAAGTTAGAATAGATTAAACTACTCTGCCTCGTGGGAAAAGGACAACCGGGTGGTGACCTTTTGCAGTTACCAGCATTTAATTTTTCAGCTTTAACAACAGGTTTTAACATGTTATTTTCCATTTATATCTGTATTTATTCTGGCCTTGTAGTTACACTGGTCAGATCTGCATACATTTCAGAAAATGCTTTGTATCTGTCTGCTGTCACATATTAATTTTGTAAATTAAAACAACAGTAGGAAGCAGGGGGTTCCCTTCTTAAAGAGGAAAACGAACCTATTATTAAATATGGAAATGGACAATGACTGCACTCCTCCCACTATCGCGAATTCATGCCGGACGCAGTCTGGTGACAAAGCTATTTTCTACTCTTCAGTGGCTTTAACATTTACGAAGAGAAACCTCTTCCGAGATCTGGGCTGCACAGTCATTCTTCTCAGCCTTTTCAAGCCTATCACAATTTCACAATTCACCCAGACTTCCACCAAATCTATTTCACCAATTTTCCTATGACGTCTCGTGAAGTCACCGCCGCAGCCCCAGGCCCACGGG